AATTTAAATACTGACAGCCCAACAATGCAAAATATCGCTAAAAATGGTCATTTGAGATTCATCCACATTCATACGAGACAAGCAGTCACTATTCGACAGCAGAAGCTAGAATTTCTAAATTTAATGTTACACAGCACACTTGTTAGCTAGCTAGGGAGTACGGAGCCGTTTGGGATTCAGTCTGGGTTTGACGCGACTTCTGGCTGAAACACAGACATTTGAAGCGTGTGAGACATTCAGGTGACATTCTTTAGACTTTTATATTGCCATTTTTCAATAAATCATATCATGAGTACTTTAATTTAAGCTTGTGGTATTAATGTTGGAGTTGTTTAGCATCTTTTAGCCTGTTGTCTAGCTGACCAGCCTAGTTCTAGTTCCGAAAATAAGTTTTCCGACTCTCAGTTTAAACAAAAACGGGTTCTTGCTTCATCAGTTCACCTGGTGCGATCAGCATTAGAGTCAAAGATTAATCCATTAACAGCAGAAGGGTTTTTCGTGCCTTGGGGCAGTGATAGAGAGTTCAGTTGTTGTAAACCAGTCACGGCAGTGGATTTTGCAACGGCATCTAGCGCGGCTCAGCCAATCAGATTTTAGGACCGGAACTATCTGTTTTATAATGTTCAATATAATATCAATTCATAATATGAAACGTTGGACTTTTTCATAATTCCAAACTTTGGAATTGTAGTTATGTAGAAGAGTCTTGCTCAAATCCTGCCCTTCACGCACACAACAGTTCTTATCATCCACATAACTCAACATCTGTTCAGCCATCATACAACACAAACAGTCAACACTCAATAATTATCCCCCTCCCCAAAGCAGCGAAGTTTTCTCTCCGCCTGGCTGGGTAAGAATGAGAAGGCACTTATTTATCCAAACAGGGGCAATTTATCACTCTTACTTTTTATTTCCTCCCTAATAGATCAGTGACAGTTTGAGATATTTACGCTAAGCAGAAGTAGAGAAAGTACATCCAGATGAGGTTGTAATTAAGCCAAACCAGGCATGTAAATTCCTTAATGCACAAGTCCCTAATTGTTCAATATCAGAATTTAGGTCTGAGCATTTTTGAACTCAGGGGCAGCACCAGTTTGTCGCTATTAAACTTTTCACTTCATTAGGATGCATCAAAACTGTATTTTGCTCCAAAGTTTTCAAAGTACAACTGAAGAAGTCTCAAAAACCATGTTTACATGCAGCCTAATAATCTGTTTATAATCTGACCAATAGTTCAGTCGATATAGAATATGTCCATGTATGCACCTCAGTCGGAATAGACTAGTTTGATTGAGGCCATTCTGAATACAATTTCTATCTGAGGTGGGTAATCCCGTAAATAATCCATTAAATAGAAGAAAAATAACCATGTAAATGCCTGTATCTGATTCCATTCCCAATCTGAAAGTTTAAGTACATTCTGAGCATGTGCATCACGTCATAGTGAAAGTTTATACCATTCAACATGGCGGAGCGAAAACTGGTCTGCAGAGGAGACGAAGTTTATGCTCTGATCTTTAAAAGACTGAGGTGAGACGGACGTCCGGCTTATGTGTGTCAGAACACGACATCTTCCTTTCGCCTTCTTTAATAAGGACATGTGAAGTACGTTTTTCTAAATCTGTCATATTTTTAAAACAATTAAAAACACAAGCACTGCTGACTGCTGCTCATCTCACTCTGACTGGACTAACGTGATGCTCGTTGTTGTGGTAATGTCTACACTAAGCGGTTCTCTACGCATGCGCGTCATTTTGAATCAGATTACTTGTGGTGTGCATGTAAATGGAGATTTTAGCTACGTTCACATTACAAGCCTCATTTTCCACCATTTACAGGCTTTAACTTCTGTTTGGCGCTGCTGCCATGGTAACGCGTATGTTCAATACACAATGTATTGTGTTGTGCAATGTGTTCAGAAGACATTGAGCCACTGTGACAGTATTCAAGAGACTTAGAAGGAAATTTCGTTTAGAGTCAGATTTTTCACCATGTGTCATGTTTGCATGCATAATCTGGTTTCCTGGGGAAGTAGTGGGGGTCTACTCAGGAGGAAGTTTCTGTGGTATTTGAATGTCATTTATTTTGATGTGAAATGTCAAAAACAACTTCAATTAGTTGAGTGTACTAAAAAAAGTCATGCAAAGTTATTGCTTTGAAAAAATGTTACCCAACAGGTTCCAGCCTAAATAACATGATGTATGAGTTTAATGGTTTCACAGAATTCAGACACTCGTGGATAAAGAAAGAGAAGTAAGCTTTAATGTTGAAGTCAGAATCCAAAGTCGTCGTCAAAAAACAGGCAAAAGGTCAAAACACATAGATCAGATATCCAGGGCAATCAATCCAAAGGGCAAATCCAAAAAACAGAGTCGAAAAGAACGGGTAATACAGGTCATGCACAAAATCAGGATCACAGATAGAACGCTCAGTAGTTTGCAAAATGAAATAATACCTCGCAAATACATACATACATCATCTAAACCGCTTATCCTTCTGGGGTGCTGGAGCCTACCCCAGCTGTCATTGGGCGGAAGGCAGGATACACCCTGGACAGGTCGCCAGTCCATCGCAGGGCAGACAGACAGACATACACAGTCACACACACACACACACATTCACACCTGGGGGAATTTTAGCATGTGCAATTGGCCTGACTGCATGTTTTTGGACTGTGGGAGGAAACCCACGCAGACACGGGGAGAACAGGCAAACTCCACACAGATATGACCCTGGTCGAATCGAACCCAGGCCATTCTTGCTGTGAGGTGACAGCGCTACCGACTGCGCCACCGTGCCGCCCCCTCGCAAATAACTAACGCTAAAGCCCGGGCTTATAAGCTAAACTGAGGAAGTCGCATGATCAAAACACACAGGTGTAACACATCAGAATTCGGGCGATCGAGAACGCTGATAGGAGCGTATGGGGAGATCAGAAGTCAGCTGCTCTCCCTGTGTATTCTGGGAGATGGAGTCTGTGTGCGTATTGAGGTTTGTAGGAAGCGTCAAAGTCATGTGATCTCCCAGGCGATTCTGGGAGATCGAGTCCGTTTCTTCCGCTTCGCTCGTGACATTCGTGACAATTAGTTGTAGTTACTTTCTAACATTCAGTGATCCACACATCTGCAGCAAGTTAGGTTAACCTGAATGGAATATTCTTCCTTGTGTAATGAGTTCGCATCAATTAGAACAACACCATTATATTAAATAGACTGTTTTGAGCAGTATCTATAATATGGCTGGTAAAGAGAAACTAATAAGAGAATACATACATCATCTAAACCGCTTATCCTTCTGGGTCGCGGTGGGGTGCTGGAGCCTATCCCAGCTGTCATTGGGCAGAAGGCAGGATACACCCTGGACAGGTCGCCAATCCATCGCAGGGCAGACAAACAGACCTACACATTCACACCTAGGGGCAATTTTAGCATGTCCAGTCAGCCTGACTGCATGTTTTTGGACTGTGAGAGGAAACCGGAGTACCCGGAGGAAACCCACACAGACATGGGGAGAACAGGCAAACTCCACACAGAAACAACCCAGGCCCTTCTTGCTGTGAGGCGACAGCGCTACCCGCTGCGCCACCGTGCCACCCTTGATAAGAGAATAACAACATGCAAATATGCATATTTAACATGAGAGTTTGCTATGACACAAAATAAAATTTTGCAATTTTGAATTATATTTCTACTTTATAAGAAAGAGAAAAGAAAAGAAGAAATTTCTAAAGTTAATGTTACACAGCACACTATTTAGCTAGGGAGTAAAGAGCCGTTCAGGATTCAGCCTGGGTTTGATGCTACTTCTGACTGAAACATGGACATTTTAGGCGTGTATTCCATTCAGGTGACAATCTTTAGACTGTTATACTGCCGTTTTTCAGTGAATCATATCGTGAGTATTTTAATTTAAGCCTGTGATATTAATTTTGGAGTTTAGCATGTTTGCTATCTTTTAGCCTGTTAGCTAGCTGACCAGCCTAGTTCTAGTTAAGAAAATAAGTTTTCAATCAGGAAACCTTTTTGAAAATGTTAGTCTGGAGTGTTCTGTGAGCTGAAATTGCAATGATTATGATGGTGATTCATTCTGTTGGTTACTATGAGTAAAAATAAACAATTAGCATAAGACGGACATGTTTTTGATTGATTTTCTGTTCTCTTGGATTCAGGCTGAGTGCTAAAACATTGATACACAGCAAGACAGGCTTTATTTTTAATCACAAATTGAGTTGCATATTTAATATCATATACTGAAAATCAATGCAAACTGAAAGACAGAGCTAAATATTATTTATTTTATAATATTTGTAATATTTATTGTTATTTATATGTCAAAATGTGTTTTAGAGCCGGTTTGTGTGATTTTGAAGGAAAGAGAGAAAGTGCATTCATTGTGTTGAATGGGACACTGCAGTTTTTATCGCCTTTTATCGCCTTTATTGTTGGAATGTGAAGGCCAAAAAGCAGAGCAATAATATCAGGATTTTAGGTGATTTTCCAGGCCAAATTACTCACAGATGCTGACATCACAGCTCGATGATGTCATGCTTGCTAGTTTAGGGGTGGGTCTGCTGAATGTCCTGATATATGGATCATGTTCGTACCTTAAACTCTTCGGAAGTTATGAAGGCTAGAAGTGACCTATCGTTTTGGTTAATTTCAACAAATCAATAGACTAAAAAAAAGTTTTTTGAGTTAGTTAAGTTTACAATTTTCATATTCAACAGAATTATTCTAGTTGTTTCATTAAGCAAAAAAATAATTAGTATCAAATGACAACATGTTTTAGCGATAGCTGGAATTACAGAGGGATCAAAATAAAGGTCAATGCCAGTGAGGCTTCATTAGTAAAGCCTACACAAATGAACTTCTCAGTTTGATGTTTGCTGTTTCGAGGCCCCTTTAACCAGGAGCTCCCAACAATTGCTTGGTCTGTTTGCCCTCTACATGAAGGCAGCATCAGCCCATAGATGACTCTTGTCACTTTCCCCACCACAGAGGCGACAGATCAGGGCAGCCGACGGGAGCTGAAGGCCGTCCCGTTCATCAGCTACCTGTCTGACCTGCTGAAGTCCCAACTCCTGTCAGATGACCTGGTGTCCGGCGTGGAGATCCGCTGCCAGGAGAAGGGCGTGTGTCCCACAGCGTGTCACCTATGCAGGCAGGCAGGCCGAGAGAGCCCTAGCCCCACCCCTGTCCTGCTGGAGGTCAGCCGCATAGTGCCCCTCTACAGCCTGGTGCAGGACAATGTCACCAAAGAGGTGAGAGAGACAATCAAAGTGCAACAGTTTTACAGTGTATGACTGTGTGTGCATACTGTACCAGTCAAAAGTTTAGGCGCACCAATTCCTTAATCATAAAGACATCTTGATCTAATGGTTTATACCTGATTGCTTGAAATTTGTTTTCGAATTTGGATATGTGAAGTTGTTTAGCTGTATAAAGCTAGTCTGCACCAGGTGTTGAAGCTGTTGTGGCTAAGTTTAGCGCATACTCTAATATAAAGCAGCTTCTAGTGGCTTAAAAACTGATCGCTTACCTGGTCAGCGACAAGAGTTGGCCAAAAAGTTGTTTTCATGTTTAAGACAATGGTTACAAAGAAATTGTTTCCTCTGCTGTCCTGCTGTTCAAACAGAGTCAGCAACCTGATCTGGGTTGCTAGATTAGACAGGATCATTGGGTTAGCAATTTTAATAATAACAAGAAAAAAACAATAAGACTTAAGGGGGTAGTTAGTCTTTATTTTAAAATGTGTTTTTTTAAAATGTACAATTTAAGTTATTCACATGAAACATTTGTCAATCTTACACAAGATTTGAATATTTGAGATAATATTTAACAGAATATTTGAAAATGCAGCTCTAGACAAAAAAAACCAAGCAAACAAATAAATATTTTTTAAATGCCCCCAACATATACTGTTAAGCAGCTAACGCTTGCGACCTATTCCATGCCCTCCAAGTTCTCCAACTACACTCACAATCTGTGTTGCAGTAATAACAGCTTTACAACCCCATTTCCAAAAAAAAAACAGTTAGTGCTGAGCTGAGATGTTGATAGAAACAAAAGCCCATGTTGAAACACCAAGTTCTGTATATGTGACATCACAAACATCACAACTAACTGGTTGTCTGATGCAGTTAATTTGCCAGAAAAGTGGATATTCTGGTCATCTTGGCCAAAAAAACAGGCCTGGAAATTAATTTAAAGAAAATAATGGGAATTAAAATGCAACTGCAATATTAGACAGAAAAAAAGACAGTTTTTTCTGTCTTGAAATAGGGAATAACGTGATAAAATAAATCGGTCCTTTTGAAGCAAACCCCAAACCACTTCTTCAAGAGAACCAGGAACTGGCTGTCTGTATTGCTCCCAGGCTTGAAAACAGCTTGACCTAACGTACTGAACTCTGGGGGACTGGAAAAAAGTTCATTTTAAGAGAGAAAAAGAAAGAGAGAGAGAGAGAGAGAGAGAGAACGAGAGAGAGAGAGAGAGAACGAGAGAGAGAGAGAGAGAGAGAGAGAATAGGGTGACCAATATTGAGTCACCTATATAATTGCAAATTGTGATAGGGGTGTGAACTTGTATGAAATCATGTTTATAGACTGCAGCTGACGTCAAAAAAGGTCCAAAAAGATAGAAAAAAGTGATGTAATCACCGCTGGTTTCTCTAAACCTTTCATTTGGCATTTGATTACAACAGCTGAAATGAAACCCATCCTATTAATGCATTAAATTAACCACATCTAGAGATTGCCATTGTTTTACTGCAGGTCACATGTATGTAAGCTATTGTAATTAAACTTTCTCAGGAAATTAAAGAAGTATGAGGCTCTTATTAAAAATAACCTGTTTTTATTGCAGTTCATGCCCCAGACCAGTTACACTGAGAGTGTGTAGTTCAAGGCACAACTATAAAATTGTCCAGCAGATGGCGTGAATGATTTGCTTTCTAAATCAGAAGCTCAGTTCTTGTTTAAGGGATATCATGAAAAGAGAAAATAAAAGGACAGCACGAGAGAGTGTATAAAAAAAGAGAGAAAAGGAGCATGTTGGCTGTACATCCTTGCACCTTCCCCTCATCACAGGCCGAGAAATATGACATATTCTGTCCTCGAGGAGACACTTATTCAATTAGCAGCCCAGTAGCCACTGTATCTTCTGAGTCACTGAGTTAATGAGGATATTAAATCGTGTTTGGAGCAGATTGCCATTGCTCTCGTTTTTCCGCATCATCCCTCTCTCCGCTGACGTCTAGGAGGATGCAATTAGCCAGCGTCTGTTTGTGCTGCAGCGTTACGAGGCAGACACGAGAGTGAGTCAGAAACCAAATGGCCCGCTTTGGCCCGGCACGTCCGTGACAGCTTCAAAACCAGGGGAGTGGGACGCTCTCCTTGTTTCTCCTGCTAATTATGTGTCTGACTGAAGTCGTAGCAAAGTGACAGGATGTGTGTGTGTGTGTTTGTGTGTTTGTGTGTGTGTGTTTGTTTGTTTTTGTACATTTTCAGAAATGTCCTGACTTTGTTGGAAAACTAGAAGTAAACAGGGTTACCAACTGAAAGCATAAAAACATTTATTTTTGATTACTGAGCTTAGGGTTAGGATTAGTTTTAGAGTTAGGCTTATATACGCATCACATTCAGTAGTTAGCCAGACGGTACTTTATATATTTATATATATATATCAGCCTGTATAATTCTAAAAGATTGAAAAATGGCCTTGTAAAATTGAATTATGACTTTTTTTGGTATCTCCACCTAATGTCCTCAGATGGCATGGGGTATATTCTTGCATTATATAACATATATAACATATTCAGGACATCTTATTGTTATAGGTACTTACATGTACATAATACGTATGAGACATACTGTGCTTATAGGTACTTACATATTATCCCTTTGTTTTTTGTTGCTTTTTTTACTTTTTTACATAATTTGAACACATCAGTTACACTATGCATTATGTCAATGATGAACGGATAAACAAAAATATTCCAAAATGACCTAGAATAAGATCTTGTTCCATTAACTTCCATTCAAAGTTAATGACGTCTGTTCGTTCTCCTGTAAAGTTACTTTTTTTTGGAGATATAACGTTTTGTCCTGACAGTGAGGACATATCATACATATGGATCGTTTTTATGTCCCCACATCCTGACATAAACAAAGGCATGTGTGTGTGTGTGTGTGGAGTGTGTATGGGTTTGCATGGAGTCTGCACATTTCTGTTTGTTTACCTATTGACAGTCTCCCACTAGAGACCGTCTGCTATCGATCTTCATTCTCCCGCACCGTCCAGCCTTTTGTTATTAGTGACACGTACTGAGGACATCGCTTTGTGCTGCGCCCAACCCTCCCTGCCCTGTACACACACACACACTCACACACACACACACACACAGACACAGACACACACACACACACACACACATCTCTTTCTCTTACACACTTTCATGCAAACACTCTCATGCACATATAGAGACACACATGCACACTCATTCAAACACATTCAGTCTTTATCACGCACATACAGTGCTGTGCAAAAGTCAGGGACCATCCTTCATTTATTTCATTTCCATTCAGTTATTCATTTTTCAGGAGATATTTCTGAGGAGATTTGATATAAGACAATCCACTTCCACAAGGAAATGGAAAATTGGGTCTCTTAACAACTGTTCAAGACCTGGTGGACCACAAAAACTGCCCCCATCAGATGCTTAAAGTTTTCATATTTGAGAGAGGAGAATATCAAGCTCCACTCTTGCTTCAGATCTGAAAGTACCCACAGAACTATGAATAATGGCCTCCACCATAGCCCAGACCTCAACATCACTGAATGAGTTTAGGTGACCTGGATCACAAGAAGCAGTAAATGCTAAGTCATCTTCTAAGAGGTAAGGAAAAAACATCCCTGTAGGTTTCTTTGAAAAAATGAAAGCAAGTCTCCTGAAAAGAATGGAAGCTGTAATAAATGCTGTAATATTTACGCTAAATACTGAAAAAAATATACTGTATTTAGTTGTTGAGGCTTCTGTTTCATTTTCTGTTAAATGTATGTTTTCTGTTGTTTTTTTGGATAGAAAAATGACCAACTTAGTGTACTTACAGGCCATTTTGACTGGAAATTATATAAATGAAGGGTGGTCTCTCACGTTTGCGCAGCGTTGTACAAACACGCAGGTGCACAGAGAAAAGCAACAAATGAAGAGAAAAGCAACAATAAAATGCTGATCAGATACAGAGAGACTGGAGAGTGCACTCACATGGCAAGAAAGCATCCTCAGTCCTCAGTCACAGCATCCAGACAACCTGTAATCCAAGAGCCATTACTCTCAGACAGGAGTTCCTAGTCATGGCTCTGGAATATCCCTGCAGTGCAGATTTTAGGCTGTGTTCACATTACAAGGCATATTGCTCAAATCTGATCTCTCTGACACGATGATTAACACTCGTTTAGGCAAGTGATTCAAATCTGTCATTAATGTGAACAAACCGTTGTCCTGAAATGACCCTCATGAGCACATCCTACTCAGTAACGTCACGTGAATGAATCACGTGCATCATCAGCAAACAAACTAACGAGCAGAACGAGCTTCACTGTGAAGATAATAAAGTCTGATCAGCTCTCAGCTGTTCATTTTTAGAGCGAGACGAAGGAGAAAAAGGTGAGATGTTCTGCTTTTCCACTGTTTACAGGCTTTAACTTCTGTTCGGCGCAGCTGCCATGGTAACGCTGAATGATGGCGCACGTGCAGTGGAAAAAAAGCACATGAATTCCGATCTGAGCGTCACATTAAGGTCACATGGCCACGAATCGGATCCATATCCGATCTAGGACCACATATGAAAGTGGCTCAGGTCGGATTTGAAAAGATCAGATTTGTGTCCACACAGCTCTGAAAACATCAGATCTGAGTCACATTAGGGCAAAAAATCTGATTGGTGCCACTTCAGCATGGTAATGTGAACATAGCCTTAGTGTTTTTCCTGCTCTAACATACCTGAATCAACTCATCAGCCTATTACCAAACCTTTCGAAGGTTAATCTGGCTGTGGTAGGGCAGAGAATGCACTAAGCTGCTTTAAGGGGCCCAGGACGAGTTAGTCGATATCGGATGCATTTGATCTTGTACATAGTTTTGAACTAACAGAACTAACTAACTAACTAACACCCTATAGAGAGCAAGTCCACATTACAAGCTTTGTACTGAGACATAAATGGTTTCAGATAATGCATAACTAATGGCCTTAAATGTAAT